GCAGAATTTATTTCTTTTTACATTCAGGTCAAGTGACCAAGCATTAATGAGATTTAGGAACCTCATTATAGTCTTGGGTATCAAACTCCTATCAGCCATACAGTACAATGATCAGAGGTGCTGGTAGTTTTTTGCTACTGAGAGCTGAGTAGTTTGTTGATTATGGATTTGGCAGCTTCTTTCTGTTCCATGCCTCACCTTCACCTTGAACATCTGCCTTAACAGATGACAGTCAGCACAAAATGTCCTCACACCAAAGCAATAGGTCACATATTCCATGTTAATCACCATCAGATAGCTGCTTTTTAAAAACAGTTAGGCCTTATGGTGTGATACTAGAGTAAGTCCATGTGTGTAATGTTTTTTGAAATGGCTCCAGTGTTTTTTAATTTAGTACACTGACAGAGATAAAAGAAAAAAAATCAGGACTGAGGGAAAGGTTTCAACAATGGCATTCAAAAAGAATACCTTCACAGAAATTTTCTCATAAATATCACTGAGAACAATGAGCATAAAACAATACAATTGTCCAAAGGGAAAATAGGTATTGTAGTATTCACAAGTAGAAGAGGGAATATAGGGGAAGTCATTACTTGAGTATAGTAAGGGCTTTAAATGCAGAAGAACGCAAGGATTTTGTGTTGGGGCAGCTACTGAAATCCTGAAGCACATAAATGTTCACAGGACTGGGCCAGATGAATCGGTGACCAGACTCAGTTTCAGACTGCACCCTATGTAAACAAATAAGAGGCAGAATGACATCTTTGTGCGATTGTACCAAAAGCAGTGGAGAAGAAAGAGATAATGACCCATACTACTGGTTTATGATGTTAATAAAGATTTGATTTGATTTTAATTATCCATTTTAACTGAACCATTTTACCAGAGACCAAACACAGGATTCTGCCCACTGGATCAAGGTAAGTAAGAAAAAAGAGCTGAATTAGAAATGAATGTCATGAAGTATAGCAACAAAGAAATAGAAGAGTCTGAAACTTGATGAGCTTCTCAGGGAAGTAAATTGAAGTTACATTGTAATGGAGATGGTAAGGTCTGGACTCTGGAAAGAAGCTGTGTAGCCTAAGTTTACTCCACTTGTAACAGCCATCAATACATCTGCTTAGTAGCACAAACTGCCATAAATAGAAAACACAAGCCAGCCCTTACTATACAGTATATACACTTCCACACACATGCTCACTTGAGCATCTGAAAAATCTTCTGTTGTGTCTTCAAACTCTCAGAGAGTCTTATTTAGGAGACAAATCAAGGAAGAACCTATCCCACTAAAGAGGCAAAATTTACTAAGTTACTTTTATATAATGGAAAGTCTGTGTTTCATAGTGTATTTCCTTGTGATATATCAGCCTTTCCAAATGTGCATATCTAGGACAAACATGTATTAACATGGTCAGATTATTATGTAAGATGAGCTAGACATATTGAAAAGACATAAAAATAGATCAGAAATATTCTCACAGAAAACTTTGATAATAATAGGATTCTGAGACAGTTAAGAAAACTTGGGAAAATCAAGAACAAGTTTCAAGTTTACATATTAACGTATTTTCCGGCGTATAAGACGACTTTTTAACACATGAAAATCTTCTCAAAAGTCGGGGGTCGTCTTATACGCCGGGTGTCATTCTCCTGTAACCAGGCAGACCAGCCCAAAAGGCTCTGACGAGCCTTAAATGGCTCTGGCGATCCAAGCTCTGACGATCTGCTAATTAGGCAACTCAGCTGGGATCGCCAGAGCCATGGAGAAGGAAAAAAGTTTTCCCCCTCCAGCTTGCTTACCTTAGCTGCTAGTCGCAACGCTTGCCTTGCTTCGCTTGCCTGAATCCATTCCATCAGCAAGCAATCCCTGCCTGCAATCAAGCAGGCAGGGAGTTGTGGACTTCAACTCCCAGAATTCCTCAGCCAGCAAAACAAAGCTGGCTGAGGAATTCTGGGAGTTGAAGTCTACAAGTCTTAAAGTTGCCAATGTTGGGGACCCCTGTTCTATTGGGTAAGATTTTTTCCCCTTTGGGATCTTTAAAAAAAATAGTTAATTGGGGTTTTTTTTAGTTGTTCTTTTTTAGACCTAGTCATTTAAAGTTTAGGAAGTTTTAAATTTAGCTTTCATATAAAAATAAAATAAAATAAAATAATATTTGTGCAGCTTTCTGAGATTTAGTATGTTTCTGTAGTGTTTCACTCTAACTACACAAATACACAAAATCTCACAATGGAATTGTGGAATTTTGTGTGCATAAAGTGTGAAAGTTGGGTTTTTGTGGCTGTGTGAAGTTCCTGCTTGTTGCAGGGGCCATTTTGGGTCTAGCACAGCTGCTTTTACATTGTGGGTGAGCCAGTTGTGTTGTGTTGTGTTGTGTGTGTGTAAAGTGTGAAAGTTGTTTTTTTGGGCTTTTTGTGGCTGTGTGAAGTTCCTGCTTGTTGCAGGGGCCATTTTGGGTCAAGAACAGCTGCTTTTACATTGTGGGTGAGCTAGTTGTGTTATGTTGTGTTGTGTGTGTGTAAAGTGTGAAAGTTGTTTTTTTGGGCTTTTTGTGGCTGTGTGAGGTTCCTGCTTGTTGCAGGGGCCATTTTGGTTCTAGCACAGCTGCTTTTACATTGTGGGTGAGCCAGTTGATGTTTTTTAATTTTTATTTGGTGTGCATTGGAAGAGGGGTAGTCCTATACGGCGAGTATAGCCCAAACCCTATATTTTAACAGGAAAATTCGGGGGTCGTCTTATACGCCCAATCATCTTATACGCCGGAAAATACAGTATTTATTCTTTTTGAATATACACTGGTTATAACCTTTTCACTGGATTTATGCAATAGGTACATAACTTGTTCATGCACATTTTAAAATATTTTTGTTACATATCCTGTTTTTTATCCAGGAGGTTATGGTAGCTTATTAGCTTTCCTGCCTTCTATTTTTTCCCCCTGCAACACCACATAGAGTGTGTTTTGAACCGATTGAGGGTGGTTTTGAATCAGTCTCCCCCATTGCCAGTCCAACAGCACTTTGCTTGTCATACATTTATATATTTACATCTACTTATGCATACATACATAGTAGCACGTCTGATGAGACAGCATTTCTTAATTACCTCTAGCCACCTTATGACATAAGTGCAATTCCTGCTGAATATGTGCATAGTAATATTATTAGATTCTAAAGCTGATAATGAACACCACGGGAGCATATGAAATCAGTACAGCAATAAATATAGGAATTCGCATAGCTTTTCTCTTTTGTTGTAACTACCTCTTAATACATGAAAGTTTTACTAGATTAATTCTGCTACTGATTTTTAGGATAAGCGTTCAATACAAAGTATATAAGCTAATAAAAAGAGAGTCCCAAATGAGGCAGATTGTTTGTCCTCTTCCCACAGCAACAACCAGTTTTCCATGCATATTGGAGAAAATGAGCCTTTCAGGTAAAGGGAAATGCCATTTGTAAATAAGTGTGATTCCTAAAATCTTATGGTATTTTAGAAGTAATGATTTTAGCCACAATTAAGAATGTGTAACTGCCTTCCAATTCTGTCCAGTTAGATCTATGGTATAAGCATCTATAAGGTTCCATTGCATCTGTAAGTATTCCCCATAAAGAAACTTACTTGAATTAAATGTATAGGATTCTTTCATATAAAGTGCAAATTACGTTCTTTTTCAAGCTCAAAGCTGATGTTAAATAATGTCCACCAAACTAGCTATATATTCAAGTGTATTTTTCTTCAGTACCCTAAATAGAACATTATGCCTGGGTAGGTCCATCTCTAGTAGAAGAATGGCAATGAATGGAAGTGAGAAACCACAGCCCTTTAAATAATACCATCAAGAGACACCTGTTATCTAGTTAGATTGTAAAGGTCACTCAGCTCCCCATTAAATGCCTCTGCACTTGTACCCCTGAAAACAGGCCTTTCTTCTGAGTTATTGATAATTAAGGGAACACTTTTAATTTTTCACTTTGAGGAAAAGCACCCTTAATCACAAAATGAACTGCTTTTTAAAGCAGTTAAAAAAAAAAAATAAGAAAACTACCCAACAGACTGAACAGAAATGTTATTAAAGAAAAAAGTGAATGGTATGTATCTTCCTCAATCTTGGGTCCTCTGGCTCTGTCTGTGTGTGTGTGTGTGTGTGTGTGTCTGTCTGTCTGTCTGTCTCTCTCTCTCTCTCTCTCACTCTCTCTCTCTCTCTGTGTGTTATGTATATCCATATATGGGATATATGCATATATCCCATATCCCATACTATAAACATAAAATATAAGCTATATATATTTTGTTGGTTACAAGGACCTGTTGTCCAGGCAAGGCAACTTATCATTTTGTTTTGTTTCATTTCATTTCCACAGAGCTCAACTTGCATTAGCCTTCCAGTATCAATAACCCAGAGACTTATTTCTCATTTGAGAAGCATGAACAGTACTTCCTACATATGACCCTCCCTGTTTTTCCCAGGGAGGAAGGCAAGGAATCCCATATTTACATCCTCATACAACAACATGGAACTACCGTAATTGCATTTCATCGACTTCCCTCACCTAATTTGCACATTACTTTCATGGCAGAAAATTCCTTAGTGGTTCTAAAAGTTGCCTTTCCTTCTCCTTAGCCCAAGTACCTGCTGAAACCAGACGGGGAACAGGACCAGGACCTGTTGAGACATGCCAGGGATAATTAAGAGGGCTCCTCCATAATCAGCTGGTTTGGCCTTCGCTCACTCATTCACAGATCCTACTCAGACAGGCTGGCTGGCTGACAGCCTGACTGTACCTAGCACATTTATTGCTATTAATACCCGGGAGAGGAGGAGCAATTGGGGTGGGATGGCAAAGGCAGGGGGACGGAAGGGGGCTTAAGGGGCCGGCACAGGATTTTGAGCCGAGAAGGAGGGCGGAGCAGCAGAAATGGAGGGGTTAAGAGATAATCCACGTCTCCTCGCAAGCCATACGTTTCTCCAACCCACTCCCTTGACCCACAGTCTCACCGTGTGGGCTGCGCTGCTGGACTTCAGCGGCGGCAAAGCGATCGGGGATGGCGGTCTGGTCCCAGCGCCCGTCCGGGAAATCCGTCCAGCCCCGATCCTCGGGGAAGACTGGAACTGGCGGCTACTTTCTCCTCCTCCCCTGCTCCCTGCGGAGGGAGGCAAAAGAAACCAGCTGAAAACGACGGGGGACCGAGCAGGATCCGGATCGAAGACAAGGGGCAGAGGGAATGAAAAGTGGCGCCGAAGTGGTCCCTTCCCCAGCGCCCCTCCTCTTGTTCCTCCGGCTGCCATTGCAGTATCATCTGAGGGATCAGCAGGAGTTGATCCCAAACGAGGCGTCGAAGCGGGGCGGGGGGGGGCACATCAAGAGTGTCCATAAAGGGGGAACACGTTCGCCCATTAACCCAGATAAACCTTCCACCCATGCTTAACCCCCAGCATTTAAGAGCGTAAAGGGGAATCCAGTCTGGCCGCAAATGGAGGAGTTTTGCAGTACTCATCCAATCTAGCCTGCCCGCTGCCTGGCCTCTCTGCCTCTTGCGAAGGAGCGCGAGAACTCGGCTCCGCTCCCCCAGCCACGACCCCCCTGCTAGACCATTTCTAAACACCAGCGCAAGAAGCGCTTCTCGTTTGCCTAAACTTGCCTGTTCTCCCGCTGAAAAGCTTGTCAATGAGAAGCTCAAGGAACCCCCTCCGGGAGATTTTAGAACGGGGGTTAAAAGTGAGGCCGTTCGAGGCTGCCCGCTTTGGCAAGAGGGGCTTCAGCCGGGGAGGGGGCCGGTTTATCTTTCACCCAGACGGCCGCGCGCTCTCACACCCCCTCGGACTCTCCTTCTCCGGCCTTGGGATGGGAGGAGGGGAGCGGGGGATCCCGGGGAGAAAGGCGGCAAGGCGGCGAATCCGCTTCGGCTGCGGCTAGCCGTTTCCCTACTTACCAGCTGGGCAAGCGGCGGCCGAGGCAGCCCCTCCGGCACTAGCCCCAGCGACACTGGCAGACGGTTTCCTGGTGGTTAACATGGCCGCTGACGGAGAGGGAAAGGGGAATACATTTCAGGGCTGCCGTGGCTTCTCCAGATCGTCGCCGCCTCTGTGGTTCGGCCTCCGCGGTCGCCGGTCCCCACCGTCTTTCCGAAGGCAGCCCTCTTCCAGAAAAGAGCAGCTACACCGGGCAGCCGCACGTCCCTCCGCGGCATCCGTCGCCGCCGAGCCCGGGCCCGCCGGGCAGCAGCTATCCTTGATCCCAGCCCCAGCCCCCGCCGCCGCCGCCTCTTCCTCGTCTTCCTTCTCCAGCGGTTCCAGAGACGGCGGCAGCAGCAGGAACGCCGCCGCCGTCCCCCGCCCGAAACACATCACCTCGCCAGTTTCCAGGATCCCCGGTCCCTCACGTTAAACAACAGTGGTGGAGGAACGGAAAACACCCCCCACCCAACCATCCACCCACACTCACGCTCCCACTGCTCTTCCTCCCCTCCGTTCGGAGAGACGGCTACAGAGACCGCCGGCCTCTCCCTTCCCCCTCCTCGGTCTCCTTTTGCCCTCTTCGCCCACGCAGTCGCGCAAGCCCTTTCAGACGCCTCTGCGCGCCCACGACACTTTCGCTTTCAAAAAAAACGGGCTTGAGGCTCCGCCAAAGCCAGTCTCCACCCCACAGAACTGTCGCCCTGGAGCCTGTCTGGGCCCTCCTTCTTCCCACCGAGGACTGCAGCTGTCCTCCGCTTGGGTGAGGAGCAGAAGTGACCGTCCCCTCCTCATCCTCTGAAAAGCGGGAGGGGAGCGAGGAAGAGAGAAGGAGCGTAGGCACTGCAATGGCGATGTTTGGCGGTCCTTCCATTACCAGCGCCCCCCCCCCCCCCAAGGACAGAAGAGTTCAGATGGCCAGCTCCCTCCTCATGTTTAATGCACAAGCAGAGGCTACTCTCGCCTAGAGCCAATATGTCGGAAATCTCAGCCTTTTCTGTCTCTAGTCTTGTTTCATGGCCTTTAGTGCAAATAGATCCTTGTCACCTGCTATATACTCTATTGGTGGGACATAACAATTTCCACCCCATCCAGCTTCTCTCAGAAATTCCCTCCACCCTGGCATTCTTGCAAAGGTAAGCCTTCCTTTTTTAGAGAGAGAAGAGAAAACCCAGGAAAAGAAGAGAATAGAAAAATAATGAAAGATAACACAGATGACGCTAAAGAACGGGAGGAAAGGAAGAAAGAAATGGAATGCTCTCAGGTTATGGACGACAGTTGCCTTAAACTATTGGGTCATTGTACTTAAGACGCATGGGAATTATAGCTGAAGACATCTGGAAAACATTAAGCCAACAATCCCCATTTAAGGAGAAACAACTGCAAGTGCTTTTAAGTGAAGGCTAAGAAACACTGGAGAGGAGAATGTGTCTGAAAGACAGTGTGCTTTGTACTGCAGTTTTTCTGATGATAAGAAATTCTTAGAAAAGAATGGAACTTCTCTTCCAAAATCACTAATCTCACTACTGTATGTCCTTAATGTTCCTTTAAAAAAAAAGAAAAGAAAACGTGATAATGATGGAAACAAACGTCTTTTGGTGCTTATGGACTTATATCTCTATGGTTAAAACAAACTCCTCCTCCTCAGAAAGCAAGGAGCAAAACACTCCTTTTGACTTGTGGCTTCTGTGCCTTGCTGACTGCAGATATTTGTGTACACGGAAACACATTTCTGTGCAGAGCAGAGTTCAGAGCAGAAAAAGATCAGATGAAACTGATAAACAGCTGACAGGGGAAGGAAGAGAACATTAGAATTTAGTTACAGTACAGTTTTTAATGGGAGGTTTTCTCTTTTGAAGAAGAAAATGAGAGTGTCAACATAGAAGTTTTGTTTCTATAGTACATAAATAAATGTACAGACAGTGATCATTTATGCTACCAACCAAGAAGGGAGTGTGTGTGTGTGTGTGTGTTAAACCAATAGATAACAGCTGTGGGAGTAGTAGTCAATGTAGGGCCAGGATTCCAGTATCAGGGTAACAAATGTGTGCTGAATTAACTTCTCAAATGAGAGAAGCAGCTGTTTTACCCAGATATGTAGGGTGTGAGGCCAGTACATGAATAGAATTCTCAAAGAAATTTTTTAAAAAATCCAACTTTATTTTTTTATTAATGAAGTTTGACCCTATATAATTTGTTAAAATATGTAAAAAAAAATACATATTATGCATAAAAACAGTTCTCACTGAACTTAAAGAGAATATGCTTTCAGAATACCTTTCAAAACAAAAGATAAAGTCTTGTGGTTCTTGTATTTACTCAGTTGGACAAAAAATGTGTATGAATATTTTCATACACAATTTCATTATACAATCGCCAGTACAGTGGCCTGCAGCTTCCCTGGCTTCCCACAGTGCAGCTGAATCCCAAGCTGAAGAAGGCATTGTGAGGAAAGTTCTCCAACTGGGCATTCTCAGCCTGAGAAATGGGGGCAGCCAGGGAGGTTTCAGTATGATTTTATTTTTATTTAAAACATTTATATTTTAACAAATCTAAGACGTAATAGGAAATAAAAACATGAACTTTCAGTAATGACCTAAATTAAAAATACTATGAAGACAAAGCTGTAAGAAAAGAAGATGAAAATTCTTTTGCAAAAGAAGACTTTTGGGAAATGAAAGTAGATTTTGAGATCAATTTTGGCACAGCATTCACTGAAACTATTCCAAAGGTTCCCCCCTCCCCCAATTTACACAGCTATTGGTCAAAAAAGTCCAGAGACCTGGAACAAAACATTTCAAATAAGATATTTCAAGCTTTTAATGTCTTCTGAAATATGTAAGTTTAATAATAATTGGACACTCATTAATAGTATCAGAGTTAACCCAGGGTAAGAAGGGCAGCCAATAAATTTTACAAACAACAAATAGTTGTTAATGCAACTATTTGTCCTCACTGGGTTTAAATTTTAGAGTGTAAAATTTGTGTAAAATTTGACATGAGGAAACCTGCTGTAGTTTCTTTTTTTATATAAGGAATTATGATTATCAAACAGACATCAGGTTTGCCACAATTCTTTATTGTACAAATTTATGCAAAATACTTCAGATGCACTAATGTTGAATACTGAGATTTCTAATTTGTGCAACCTTTAAAACCTTACCTATTTATCTCTAAGGATTTCCTGTTTTTCAATCTTATTTTAACTCGATTCCTTGTAGTTACTTTTAGTTTTTAACCTTGAAACTTTTTCTGCATAACAAGTTTATGCTGCTGGAACATTTCTTCACTTCATCCTTCTTGTTCCTTACTCTTTGATTTTTTTTTTACCTCTATTACCATTTTCTTAACTCTTTCACAAATACCTTGGATTTTTATTACTTTTGTTATATCTTGTATATCTTTCTCCTCCCGAAGTCACTTGCTCTACTTCTTCCTTCAAGCTTCTGGGTTTGGGTTTAGTTCTTACAGGAGGAATGACTTCTGTATTCTACTGTTCCTCAGTCTTCATCATTCTCTTAAAGGCATCTGTGGGAACTTTCACCCTTGCTGTAGTTCTAGCCCATTGTAAGATTTTGCACAGCTCTTTAATGGCCCTTTTCTTTGTTTGCCCCATTGTCACCATCCTTAATGGACTATAAATGACAACGGTTTCCTTTGAATCTGTATTCTTCAAGTCATCTTTTGCCTGGGACTCCTGACACTTTTGATCTGCTAGGTTGCTGGTTACAACTTCTCTGCTCCTGTTCTCATCTGCAGATACACACACCTCCAACAGCAGTGTCCTACAGCTCGGCAGTTCATCTTCATTCATCTGAAATGTCTTGAAGTGATTACTTTCTATGGGCTTTATGACTTCTGATCTCTTTTTCCTTTTTCCCAGCAGTGATCTTCAACTGCCTTTGTGATGCTGTATCAGCAACCCCTTCTCTAACGAACAGCCCCTCTCCTCTACTAGGTCTCAGCTGTCCCTATTTAATACTTCTCAGCTTTGCTGAGATACTTCTCAGTGTGCCAGATATGCAGTCCTGGGAGACATTCACAAGTGACTTAACATCTTTAATGATAGACCAGCAGGAACTGCTTTCTGATAACCCTCAAATCAGCCATGCTGTCTCAGAATATGCTTTAAAAAAACCCTACATTTGGGGTTTGCTCTCCATATAAATCTTATATAAATCTCACACTCTGACCATACTGCAAAATCATATCCACATGAAAAGTGAGAGGTTTTCTTAAATAGCTTTTGCCTATAAGCAGATTTCAAAGAAAGATTCATGGGCAATGTGCAGTCCACAGCAAAAGACAAAGCAAAGTAAGAAATGAAATATAAAAATATTGAGACACATGTGCATATGATATTGACTATCATCTATCTATCAATCAATCTGTCTGATATGTGCTTCCCATCTTATCAAGAGGTAACTTGTTTGTGACTGGTTTCCTTTGTAAAGGATTATGTGAGGCTTTAAGCTTCCACTGATATATGGAATATGCAGCCCCTAAAAAGCAAAGAAATGGTCACAAAAAGAGTGGATAGCTAGAACTGTAAATGTTCTTATTGAGGATATCACATGCAGTATCTACCAAATGACATTTCATGGCATTTGCAGTACAGAATGTGATATTCCAGGAAACACATAGCAATAACACTGATAGATGGGCAAGAACTGCAGCATCCTAACAATCTCCACTAGGAAAATGTTATATACCTGAGATATAACCAGTTGTTGAAGGGTTTTTTTCCCAGCAGTCCCCACTCAAAAGTGGTCTGAGGAAAAAAGAATCTGCCTTAGTGGGTAAACAAATATAATAATGAACAAATTAAAAAAACAGCATTGTGCAGATATTTCATCTTTTAATCTTTAATGATTTTTGCTGGAAGGAAAAATAAAATGTGTAAAAACACAGAAGGTGTCATTTGGGACCACCAGCCATGTAAACATTCTGTGATTTGGAGAGGATAATTGCACAATACATTAATCATTTGAATAATCTTGCTCCATTTGCTTGAACCAGGATTCAAACTTGAAATAAATTCAGTCTGAATCTTTTGAATAGTAGTAATTTCACAGAATATATATTTAATATATTTTTCATTGCTTCATGATGATGCTTTCAAGCTGATGTACATCAATTAATTTAAAGTGCTAGCAAATTCAAACTACAACAGCTATCCATAGTGACCTGGTCTTCAGAGAGAGAGAAGAAAGAGGAAATCACACAAGTTGAGTGGCAACACCCAGTAATCTTATCTGTCAACAAATGTTTAGTCAAACAATAATGGATGGGATTGGACCAAGAATGAAGCATAATGTCAATTGAAACTAAAAAAACTATAAAGTTATTACAGAGATAAGGAATAGGTTGGAAATTAAAATTAGTTGATGCATTAGTTTTTAAAATGATCAAGGCATGATGTAATAGATTGCAACAATTGGTTATTAAAGTTATAAGTATTATCCAATAAATCCCTAAACCAGGAACTCATTGTTTACAAAGTACACTTGTAATGGGTGAACAGCTAGTGCAGCTCTAGCAAAAAAATAAAACAGCAAATATTCTACTTTGAATGAAACATTTCATGCTTCTCATGATACTTTGTCACAGGGCACATATGTATCTCTTGCAGCTTGTTGACAGGGTAACCTGATGGTCTTCCAAATGTTACTGAGCTCAACTTCCAGCAGTGAAGCTAGTCTTGTCAAAGGATCCTAGGAGCTGTAGTTCAACAATATCTGGCAGACCTCCATGTTCCACTTCTAGAAAGACTGAAGCCTGCAAGAATCGAATTATTTAAATGCCACTTAGTAAACTCCAGTGGAAGCTACTTACAACAGAAATAGACTAAGTTCTTTCATACACAAACAGCA